GCTCCTGACGTCAGCTCTTCTGAGCTGGTGCCCTGAGAAGCTACCCCTTTAGTCAGACGTTATTACTATATAAATGAGGACGCCAGTACCTACCTCCGAGGTTCTTGGTATTTGTAAAACTACAATGTATGTCCTAATCACTCAGTGATACATTGGCATTTTACGTTTATACTATTTCCATTTAATCTTCATAATAGCCAGTGCAGAGGGGAGCGCAGGCATAAGGAACTTTTTATAGTCAACGGACCTGTACTCATAAATGACTCACAAAGCTCATGAGAAAACACTATTTATTCATTTCATAGCTTTTGTTCTTTTTAAGGGCAAACCAGATGGTATTGGAGTATGTAAAAGTTGCTGAGATTTGGAAGAAATTAGCTAAACAAACTTTAAAAGCCCAGAGCCCTGATCCATCTTTGAAAACCACTTTACGGTGTTAAATGTTTTGTGAGGTGGGGTTTTTGGGGCTTTGCTATAGCTGCCTCCCCATGCCTTTGCTACCGTGTTTCGAAATCAGAATGCGTGTACGATGCCTCTTCCAGGCATACAGCTTGTCTTGTGCAGGTTTACTGATTGTGCAGCTGTCCAAGCTTTGGAATTTAGCACAGAAATTAATCATCCTGGTACAGTAGTAACGGCACAGTATGTTTAGAAAGTGAGCAGAGATGGTTAACTCTACAAGCCGCTGTTCCTGGCCTTTAGAAAAATCAGTTAGGGGCACTACAGGCAATTTGAAGGGCTGCCTGAGAAGCATCTAATTCTTTATTTCTACTGGAAAAGCCGTTGGATAGATGAGGTAGTTTGCTACTGAAACATGCCCTGACCCCAAGGTAAATATCCGCGGCGAAAATTCATTGAAGGGTAGAGGCCCCTTCTGTGGCGTTAGCTATGTGAATTGCAGTGTTTAATTCCTCTCTGTTCAGCGCAGCTGCCAGTGACAGTGAGGAGTGCCTGAGTGGGGACCGTATCCAGGTTCCCCACAACATAATCATGCCCAATCAGTTTGTCAGGAACAAGGAGACAACACAACAAAACTTCTGCAATTATTACCAATAATGGGAGTGCCTGAGTCGGCAACACAGTTGTCAGGAGTGGTTGTTTTGTTATGGGCTTTACAATCCAGGAGAGAAAATCACCCATCTTTTCACCCGGGTTAGGGTCCTGGGCTTTCGCGCTGGTTCTCTGGGTCCTATGGCACTGGGTTTCACAGTCCTCAAAGCCTAGGAGGATTAAATAAATGAATAGATAAATATGGACATGGGTATACCATATGTGTAAAAGGAGTATAATGCACATTTTAAAGTATTTGCCAAGAATTACTCTTATTTTTTGATCCAGCGCAACGAGCCAAGATCAAAACTTCGAATGCCTGCAGGCTCTGAGCTAGTGTCTTCTCGTATGGCTAATAGAACTTGCATCCCTTACTTCTTAGGGCAGGAAATACAGAATGGGGGTTACTCGTGGCTCAGTAAATTTCCTCTGCAGCCCCTAGGCTGGACTTGCTCACACTTCTAAGTCAGGACGTAAAAAAATAGACAGAAGGTCTATTTCTAAGTCACAGCAAGTCCTTACGGTAGGATGAACTCATAGCTGCTGAGATATCTCTGTGAGGACACTGGTAATGAATGTGAAGCTCTTCAAGTGAACTCTTGTCTTTTATTTCTTCTTCAGGACTTTGTGTATGGTCGCTCTGGAAACCCCACTCGGAACTGCCTGGAAAAAGTAGTGGCGATGCTGGATGAGGCCAAGCACAGTAAGTGGCGTGGACCTCCCAGACAAGTCCTGCTAAAGAACGTAGAGAACGTGCCGGAGGTCCTGAGTGCAGGTGGGAAGAAAGATCCACGCACTCCCTGCCAGGCCCGGGGGAATCAGACCTGTCACCCCAGCACCCTGGGAGGCTGAGGCAGGAGGATCTCAAGTTCTAACCCCGCCCAGGCAATTTAGCAACTTAGTGAGATTCTGTCTCAAAATTTTACAAAGACTAGGGAAGGAGCTAGGTGTGGGGTCGGGTTCAATCCCCAGTGCGGTAGAGCAGAGGAGGAGAGGAAGGGAATAAAAAGCTCGGTGGAGGACTCACCATTCATTCATTCGCAGCCAGTGCTCTACTACGATACTATTTTACCCCAGGGCCATGAGGTAGAAATAGCTACGTATCCCGGCAAAAAGCAGCGTGACCACAGCACTCCTGCGGACCCCTGTCTACACACAGGCATCTGTGGGCACAAACACACACAAATGTACTTTCGTAGTTCCATTTAGGGGAAAATGAACTTTCAATATCCTGATAATATATGTTCCTGAGAATAGCAGCCCCGGCCTTTATAATACGCTCTCAGAGGCTTGGAATTAACTTCCTGAAACTTTGTTTTCCCATAAGGGTAGCAGATTGTTATTAAATTGTCATTTTATTCTTCATATAGGTGATACTAAATGAAGGCAGACGAATGCATCTGTCATCTTTACAGTTATCACATGCAGCTCAATTCTGACTCTGAGTTTCTTTTAAAAAATGTTTTGCTCCAGCCTGGTGGGCTGAGGCATTCCTTTAATCCCAGCACCTGGGAGGCTGAGGCAGTACAATTCCTGAGCGCTCTGAGTCCAGGCCAGCCTGAACACTGTCTATGAAAAAGTAAACGAACAATTAATTAACCTAAATTTTTTTTAAAATAATATTTTAACAAAATGTTATATGGATTTTGTATTCCACACCCATATAATGAAAAACTTGATCATATCTTCACTCTATTCCTCAAGTTCAAAATTTGTTTAAATATTTTGTTTTTTAAAATTTATTTTTGTATTTTTGAGACAAGGTCTTACTATGCAGTTCAGGCTAGCCTTGAGCTCACTCTGTAGCCCAAGCTGGTCTTGAAATCAAAATGATCCTCCTACCTCAGCATGCCCAGTGCTTTGATTATAGGTGTGCGCCACCACGCCTGACAGTTTATTTTAATATTTTAAAACTGTAACTTAATGGGCAATGAGATTTTATTTCAAGTTTTTCAAAGAATAATTTCTTTGAAGGATTTTGTAAACATGTTATAACCAAGCACAGGGACCGGGTTTGATCCTTGGGACCAGGGCCATGCTGGCCCCGCCCCCAGGCGTGCTGAGCTGGCCACCGAGTCCAGGTGTGGGGGCGCAGGCCTGTAATCCCAGCACTGGGGAGGCTGAAAACAGGGGGATCACTACGAGTCCGAGCTGCATAGTGAGACCCTGCACAAAATACTTAACAACAACAACAAAAAGTTATAACTAACGCAGAATGTTGTAAGACCAAGTAACCATCTACTCTGTGTGTGTGTGTGTGCGTGCATGTGTGTATCTTTTAAAGATAACTTATTTTTGACTGACCTGTTGAGAGAAAGGGATGTTAGGTTATGGTGAGTAAATACCTATGATGGATGTTAGGTTATGGGTAGTAAATACCTATTATCCCCAGGTCTGCCTTTTTTATTTACACTGACTGGATTTTTATTTTAGGTTTGGCCTTTGCTTCGGGCTTGGCAGCCATCGTGACGGTTACTCATCTTCTAAAAGCAGGAGACCACGTGATTTGCATGGACGATGTGTACGGAGGTAGGCGAGCCGCCCTTCACCGCACCCCAGACGCTTTAGCATCGAGAGTCCAGCTTGGCCATTTATTTTATACTTTTACTGTCAGTATGAGTGATTTTTCTTTTAAATTTTCAAATACAAAAAATAAAATTCACTCATATTAAGTTGCTGATTGGTGAATTGACTTGCAGGCTCAGTAGATCGTTTGTACTATTTGTGCATATTCTTGCTTAATCACTCTAACTATCTTTCCCTGTTGTCTAAATTTATGTACACCTTTATGATTCCACATTAAACAGATTATTGTGTAAAAAAATAAAAAATAAGAAATAAAAAATAAAGTTCAGAACAGTTTTTGTAAAACAGATTATTCTATGTTCGTGATTTGTCTTATTTCAAAATGAAGAGCAATTAAATTTGCAAGATCTCATTTTATCCATTAAAAGTGCTTTCAGAACATAAAAGTGTTGAGATAGTTCTGTTACCAAAGAATAATAATTGACTAAATGTTTACTTTGGACATTTTCTCAGCATTAATTTACTTTAGTTCTGATTAACTAGAAGAACCTGTTACAAAAATTGTTAATGTTTCAGGGAGCACTCCACTTCCTGTTTGCAAACAGAGACTGGATATTTTGTTTGTCTGTTTTTGGAGATAGAATCTCACTATGTAGTTCAGGCTGGTTTTGAGCTCACCATGTACCCCCGCCTGGCTTCCAACCCACAGCAATCCTCCTGCCTCAGCCTCCTGAGTGCTGGGGTCACAGTATGCACCATCAGGCCTGGCAAGACTGGGTATTTTGAGAAATATTTTCTGTTTTCTATTTCCTATTGTGGTAATCAAGTGTGTTTTATTTGACTGGAGCCTTGTTATTCACTATTTTCTTTTTGTACTGGGGATCGAACTCAGAATCTTACGCTTGCTAGGCAGGCACTCAAGCCCCTGAGCTATTTCCCCAGCCCAAGCCTTGTGATTCGCTACTATCGCGGAGAGCCACGCCACTTAATGAAAATTGCTTTTAGTTGTGTTTTTGCGATTGAGAGTTTGTTCTAACTTTACAAGTTTATACCTGTAAGGTGAACATTTCTGATGCTGTGTCTTTTCCGTTCTGCCACAGGTACTGGCAGATTCTTCAGGAGGGTGGCCTCTGAATTAGGATTAAAGATTTCTTTTGTTGACTGCTGCAAAACCAAATTGCTGGAGGAAGCAATTACACCACAAACCAAGGTACCTTCGCTAGTTTTCAGTTTTACTCGTCTTCTCTATGACATCTTGTTTTCATCATTGTTTGCTTACAAGAGGATAGAATTTCAATCTAAATAACAAATTTTATTAGAAGCCCTTGGATACATCAACAAGATTAACAAAGGCCGGCAGCTTGGTCTCCCAGGGATAAGGATTTCATGCAGGAATTCTGGAGTACAGCCCCCACTCTGGCTCTGTATGTAGCTGGTATAGTCTGGACAGATTATTTGGTGAAGTCTCAGTGTCTGCATGTGTGAAGCGCAGACGACTGCTCTGGCTTCATTAGAAAGGCAGCCGTGAACAGGAAGCGAGCTACTGCATCGACTTGCCTAGGAAGTGCCCGGATGCCTGGCTATGGGGACAGCTGGTCTACCCATGGGCTGGGGGTGGAGGCACGAGCGGAGCTCTTGCCTGGCATGTGTGCGGCCCTGGGTTCAATCACCAGCACCGTAAAGAACAAAGATGGGATCTCTGCATGCAGGAGTGCACAGTTCTTCACTACACTACCAAGCCAGTGTGGGCAGCAGCCCTCACAGCTGCTGGGCGATAGGATGATAGGAGGCACGCCTGCCAACCACTTGGCACTGTGGCCTTTTCTGGGTGCCCAGGGTCCTGCTGCAATAACAGACAGAGAGGATGGCCACTAGCGGTCCTTTGCCCTGGGCCCGGGAAGCTCACTGCCACCAGAGGCATTTGGTGCCCGACTGAATGACAGATGGGAGTTCTTCCTTGGGGCTTCATTTAAATGCTGCAGGAGTGAAAAACAAGGACCCGGATCTTTTATAAGTTGGCCCTTGCCACTTTCTTTTGTGTGTGTATGACAAGTTAACATTCAGAACTGCACTCAAGGTGATCTCGCAGTGAATGCTAAGAAGTGAAGATCATTTCTCAAAGAAAAAATTTTTTTCACATTAGGATAGAAGTTACCTTTTATAATTAAGGTTGAATTATTTACTAACGTATTTATTTTAGAACCAGAGTTCTCATGCTGGGCTACATCTCCATTCCTTCTATCCTTAAAAATTTTGAGACAGCCATCCTCCTGCCTCAGCCTCCAGATTACAGGCAGGTGGCACCATACCTGGATTTTTAATCTTTCTTGAAAGAAAAGATACTCATTAAAATAACTGGTCTCAAAGAGGAAAGGAAATCATAATTATATTAAACTTTGCCCATAACACTTCATATAATTGCTCTCTATTGACAATATATTTTGCCCTGTGAAATATGTATAGGCTTGTCATTTACAATTGAATTTTAAAGGTGGGCGTGGTGGCATGCGCCTGAAATCCCAGCACTTCGGAGGCTGAGGCAGAAGAACTGCCATGAGTTCAAGGCCAGCCTGGGCTACATAGTAAGCTCAAGATTAGCCTGGACTACATAGCAAGATCCTGTCTCAGAAAATTATTTCTTTCTTTTTAAATTTAATTTAGGGCTGGGGAGATGGCTCAGTAGAATAAGCACTTGCCTGGCAAGTGCAAGGGCCTGAGTTCAATCCCCCGTTCTGCCAATAAATAAATAAATACATAAATAAATAAATATGATTTAATTTTATTTTGAAGAGCAAAAACAGAAGCAAAAACAAATAGAAAAAAAAGACAGAAACAAGGTAACACAGCAATACATATGATACAGATTTTCAAAGCAGGAATAGCTAATTAACAACGGTAGTTATATTATCTATTTTTATCATCAAATCTATTGCTCTATTGCTCAGATTAACAGATATAGTTATGCAAGACTGGGGAAATAATTAAATATTGGCTCTTGCTTTCAAGAAATTTTAGTTTCTTCCTTGACTTTTTTTGTTTTAATTTATTTTAAAGAATGTCTAATAATTGATAAAACATTAGAAATAGTACACATTTAGAAGACCAAGACGAAAGGTATTCAACTCTGGGCTTTGTATATACACATTGTTGTCCTTGATATAGTTGCTCAGCTCACAGATATCAGCACACAGAGTTAGTCAAGGTGAAAGTTCTAAACATTAACTGCTATTTCAAAAAATTTGGAGACTGAGTGTGGTGGTGTGCGCCTGTAATCCCAGCGCTTGGGAGGCTGAAAACAGAAGGATCACTATGAGTATGATCTGTGTAGTGAGACCCCGTAGACTCTGTACTAAAATACATTAAAAAAAATCTGATGGAAATTATGAGTACGGTCATCTCAGCCATGCTCAGAAAATGTTAAAAGCAATCCATGTCAAATCTATTTTGTAACTTTTTTCTTTTCTGTTATGTGTACATAATTCTACATTTGTATAGAATGTGCATTATATTAGCCACCTTATGTTTTTCTGGATCAAAAATTCCAGAGTAGGAAGTATATTCAGGAGCTCTCTTGTCCACTGATACTGGAAATTTTAAAAAGAATAATTAACCCCTTAAGAAGAGAATTATGGGAGGTTGGGAAGACGCGTGCAAACATCACTTTCTTTGGTGAGCTGTAACACTTTTCTGTCAGCTCAGTCACTTTGTCCTTCAGTCTGAGGCCAGGATCTTCAAGTCCTGGGTGGCTATTTCTAACTTTTTTAGTGCATCTGGTATTATTTTTTGTTTGAGAGCTATTTTTGGCATCATAGGGTTAGTTCTCATTAATGAAAATTCTAGGATGTATTTTGATGCGACTTTTGTTACTTGT